AAATTTTTGGATAACTCTTCTGGGTGGTTGGTTTATTTTTTTTGGTTTTTTTTTTTTGTGGCCTGGCTGTTTTCCAAAGCCTCTGAGACGTGATTAATAAATCCCAGCATTATCTGGTCTGCTGCCTCTGTAAACATTTCTTTCTTCCCCATTCCCACACAGAGCTGCTGTGCTTTTGGCCTGGTTCCCTCTCTCCCCGCCTCCACCCATCACTTCATCTGGGAAATGTACTTCTGTAAATCATATAATTCAACTGGACAGGTGTTTATATTTAGCACTCCCTGCAGATCACGTAGCCCCTCTTCCCTCCGAACCACTCCCCTCTTCGTGAATGCTTGACCCAAAGAGCTATAATAAGGCCGGCTAGCCTGGCCTTGCCTCACTGTTCCTCCTTTCCCAGTCTATAGGAAACCAACTTTCCATCGCCTGCTTCTTTCCTGTGTCTTTTGAAAGAAACTTTCATGCCTTAGTAACGCCACACCAAGAGTGCTGCATCCCGTTTTGGTCCCCACACTATAAAAAAAGACGTTGAAACTCTAGAAAAAGAGCAACCAGGATGATGAGGGGACTGGAAGCTAAAAGGTACGATGAACAGTTGCAGGAACTGGGCCTGGCTAGTCTAGGGAAGAGAAGGATCAGGGGAGACATGATAGCAGTCTTCCAATATTTGTGGGGCTGCCCCAGAGAGGAGGAAGGGGTCAAGCTATTTTCCAAAGCTCCCAAAGGCCAGACAAGGAAGAATGGATGGAAGAGAGATTCAAGCTGGAAATAAGGAGAAATTAACTGACAGTGAGAAACAATCAACCCATGGAACAGAAGTTGCCTTTGGAAGTTGTGGGAGCTTCATTACCCACCTCAGAAGGATGGAAAGCTGAGTCAACCTTGAGCCTGGTGGTGTTTATTCTCTTATTGTGTTATTTTATAGGTCATCCTCGACTTATGACCACAGTGGAGCCCAACATTTTTGCTGCTAAGTGAGATGTCTGGGGTTTGTAAACTGCCTGGATAACATCTGCGTGAGAATTTTCCATGCAACAGACAGTTCTGGTTTTGAAAAGTAGCAAGCTGGGTTTCGTTGTTCTAATCAACTGCTCCAGAACAATAGCGGCACCAAAAAAAAAAATGAAACTTTTATTACCTTGTCGAAACAGCCAAAATAAGAAAAAGCTGATGTGTTGGAAAGTTCTGTCTCTTAGAACAGGACTCTCCAAACTTGGCAACTTTTAAGACTTGCTGGCATGGCTGGCCAAGGAATGTTGGGAGTTGAAGTCCACAAGTCTTCAAGTTGCCCGGTTTGGAGATTCCCTGTCTTAGAAAAAGGAGCAAGATATCGGATAAACCTTTATGAAATAACTGGCCAACTCGGGAGAAAAAGAGCCATTTCCCTCACCATGACATAACTCGGGCCTCTGGAAAGTTCCAGTGCCTTGGCTACAGATCTGAGATGGATGGAAGAATCCTCCATGCACATCATGTTTGAAATTCACTGTCTCAAGATGTGTCTGTCCTCTGGCTTAGAAGGCTTAGAAGAAGAAGAGTCGATTAGAACAGGGGTCTCCAACCTTGGCCACTTTAAGCCTGGAGGACTTCAACTCCCAGAATTCCCTAGCCAGCAAAGCTGGGAATTCTGGGAGTTGAAGTCCTCCAGGCTTAAAGTGGCCAAGGTTGGAGACCCCTGGCTTAGAAGACTTAGAAGCAGAAGAGCTTTCCTGTCTAGAAGCAATAAGCCACCAAATACTGGTTCTTGCAGAAAAAGGTGTCATTTTGCCCCACTGTGAAGCCTGATAGGACATTAAAGGATAATAAAGGATGGAATTGACTCTTAACAAAGTTCTAGCAGGATCCATTTTCCTTTTCCTTTCCGGCATCAACCAAAGAACCAAATATTCTTTCCCCTAAGCGTCTTCCTATTCTCTTTAATTTGCTGGGATAGGAAACAGCTTTCTCTTGTTATTTCTCTTGAGTTGTAGCTAATCCCTCTCTTTATAAAAATCATTCAGTAAAGGCACATATGCTTCTCAGACAATAGTGGCAATTCTTGAGTAGAATTCTTGAGTTGAGAGGATGGCCGCGTGCCAAAATCTTCCTAATGGGGCCAAAATCAGGATTAAAGGAATTTTTCCAGCCACAAGAACTACACCAAAAACTACAGAAATAGTGATGACTTTCTCTCTCTGTCTCTCTCTCTCTCTGTCTCTCTGTCTCTGTCTCTGTCTCTCTCTCTCTCTCTCTCCATCTGTACTCTGTCTACATTCGCTGATGTCAGCACAGTTAGTCCTCAGTTTATGACCATTATTGAGCCCCATATTTCCATGGCTAAGCAAGACAGTTAAGTGAACTTTGCCCCATTTAAAGACCTTGCTTGCCACCGTTGTTAAGTGAATCAGTGAAGTTGTTAAGTTAGCAACACGATTGTGAAGTGAATCTGGCTTCCCCGTTGACTTTGCTTGTCAGAAAGTTGCCAAAGGGGATCCCATGAAATTAGGACACCGCAACTGTCATAAGTACATGCCAGTTGCCAGGACATCTAGATCCCCACAGCTTCACCCTGGCTACTCTAGTTAGTCTCTTGATGCCTATGGAGAGTCATCCAGGTCAGGGTTGTCCCAAAGGTGCTTTTTTCAACAGGCAACTGGACTTTCTGGTTGTTCTTTGAAGATGTTTCAGAGCTGAAGAAGCTTCTTGGGTGAGAAGCAAAAGGTCTTCAAAGAAAAACCAGAAAGTCCCAGTTGCCTCTTGAAAAAGCAAAAACTTTGGGACAAGTCTCTTGATGTTTTTGCAACGAATGGGTTTCCATAACACTACCTTTCTTCTGAACCTGCTTCTTTCTTTCTGGCTGGGTCAATGAAAGAACTCTTTTTCTATTTATTTATTTTTGAAAGGGCAAACCTTTGGTCCTGGTGACCGACCCAAATTCTATCTTGCATCCTTATCCTGCGCCACGTATATTTGCCTTAGTTGGCGAGAAACATTAGAGGCATCAGAGTGGAATGTGAATGAGATCTTGCAAGGCTGCATTTAAAAAAAAAAAGAGTCCCTGCAGTTAATCTTTGGTACAGTCTTTTGCATTTTAACAAGGGCCTCATTCTTTGCTGAATGTTTAGTGTCTTGTGGCTTAATGTATTTAGGAAATGCCTAATTAAAAGCAAAGGAGCAGATTTCCAGTGATAGAGGAGTTGATATCCTACAAAAAAGGGGTTCCCATGAAGATTTGTAGTGCTTCTTTTGATCACTGCATCCTGCTTTTCTTGAGAAAGTATGTGAACTTTATTGATAGGCAGGTTTTCTGAATGTACAGTTGCAAATCTATACTTTTCTTCCGATTGCTGGCGTTGCCTGCTCTGGATAACTAGCAAAAATACCCAGGCACAGTGGCAGCCTCATTTCCTCCATTAACTTTGAGAGACGCACCTCAAATATCAAACACTATCATATGACTCTTTTTCTTCCCATCTGCATGACTATTTTATATTCCGGAATGAATTCTGACCCAGATGAGCACCAGAAGGAGATTGTATTCGGATTAGAGAGCTGTACGGTCAAGAGCTGAATCGGAACTGTATAAAACAAAGCAAAACAAAACCACACAGCAGAGAATTCCAACAGATTTGGCCCTGATATTCTGGAAGGAAGCCTAGAAGGATCCACTTTTTAGATTTGGAAAGCTCTGTTTCGGAAACAGCTGGAATGCAGTGGGGTGGGGAAATTCCCAGGTAGTTCCTAAGCAACAGATGACATGGATGTCCTAAAATTTTGGGGGAAGCATAGTCAACAAGGAGCAGACAATAATGGATGAAAGGGACCAAAGAAATCAACCCGCTGGGAAAAAAAAAAAACCTTCCTATATTCCTCTTTGAATTGACTTCCCTAGAAATTTTCTCACACCTTGCCAAGTATTGCCACCTAGTGAACTGGAAATAGCACGACAGAAGGTCAAACTTCCCGTGTCACGGAGCCGTGTATAGTTGTTCTCTAGCTTCCTTTTTTTTTTTTTTTTAAGAATTAATGAACAGTTGAGAACTCCGTCGCCTGCAGCAGATTTACAAAAGGGGGTCAGGAGGGAAGAGTTTCGTAACTGGTGGTTCTCTCTTCTTTTTTTTCCATGCAAAAATGATTCCTTTTATCGTCTCCCGCCAGGAAGATTTTGCAAGGAGAGTTCTTTAACCACGTTTGCTTTCTAACCAAGAGTTTGTTTGGACCGGGGCACGAAGTGGGAAGATCACACAGAGATTTCATCTTGTCTCCATGGTACCCATCTTAACAGTGCTACATTTGGATTGCAAGCCTAAAAGGAAAACAGCCAACATCATAGAAATCACGGGATCCTTTTAGTCTGCTGTTTCTCAAATCTTGTCGACTTTTAAGTTGGGTTGGACTTCAGCTCCCAGAATTTCCAAGCAGGGAAATGCTTGGGGAACCTTCTGGCAGCTAAAGTCCATGCATCTTAGAGTGGACAAGGTTGAGAGCCCGACTCTAGTCTAATCCTTGGACCAGTGCAGGGATGAGCTACTACAAGCAAATGTTACACCCATTGCAGATGGCGTAGAAGTCAAAACAGATGCCGGACTTGCTTGCAAACCTGTTCATTTTATCTAGCTTTGAATACGGCTTTTACTCTGCCTCCTGCATTTTCTGCACCTTTCTCCATCTCCTGTAGCCCAATTGTGTTATTTTTTTTTTTCTGGACCCAATTTCTTTTCCTTTGCCCCCCAAATATCTTTCTCGCTCCATTCTGAGAAGAAAGCAAGGCTTCTGCCTTCAGCCCTTTCCAGATAGAACCCCGATGGGAGCAAATATTTCGCAGTCCGCCTTCCAATTTTTCAGCTGTCACTACCTTAGCCAAGCTTTCTGCATAACAGACCCAAGGTCTTTAGAGATGCTCAATCAGCCAAGTCACGGTGGTCCCCAAAGGTGCCATTTTTGGAAAGGCGCCTGCGTGACGTGCATCCCAGACCATTCTTAAGACCAAGTCAAGAGGGAGAAGGAGAAACGAGACTTACATTTGACAGTATTTCGGGACTCCTGGAAACCAGCTGGCTCCGAACCCCAACTCAAGGCTTCACACTCGTGCTGCTGCTGCTGCTGCTGCTGTTGCTGCTGCTCCACCCCTTGCCCGTGCTTGGCACCTGCGCCCACCCCTCCTTTCCCCTTCTCTGCCAGCCAGCACATCTTCCACAGCCCCACGCTGCGTTTCCGCCCATCCTCCAAGGTCTGGTACACCCAGTTGGGGGTAAAGGCGGCCGCGTTGTTGAGAACGAGGGACACCAGAGCGACCAACACGGCTGTGGCGACCAATTTCTGGACTGTCATATCTGAGGGTCACCCAGCCACTCTCGGTAGAAGATCCGCACGCGTTTCACACACCACACACACGCACACACACCCCCAATCAGCTGCAGCGCATTGACTTCGCTCCGTTCGGTGGAAGAGGAGAACGTTAGGGATGGTTAGAGTACATCGCCATTCATTCTCCAAGTCAGCTGCTGGGAAGGTCCTGGCTGCCCAAAGAGCCACAAGGCAGAGCGGAGAACTCCATGCGAAGGAAAGGCAAGAACCAGGCGTCCAGATTGCTTGTCTTCCTTTGCGGGGGGGGGGGCTTGCTTTATCCTCCTTCCTCCCCTTTGAGCAGGACCAAGCTGGTGTAGAGTTGAACGTTGAGGAGGCGCATTCTTTCCGAAACCCAACTGGCAAAGGGTCGACGTAGGCAGGGTCTACGCCGATCGAGTTGTGTTCACGGACAGCTGAGGGTCTCCCCACCCCCCACCCCCACAAAAAAAAACTATGCCCCTAAAGGCAGACTTCTGTAGCACGGGCCGTGAGAAGAAGCTGGGAGATTGGACAGCCAAATGGTATAGGGTCTCCTGTTGGAGTAGGGATTGGACTAGAAGACCTCCAAAGTCCCTTCCAACTCCAGTTTATTCTGATATTCTGATGAGAAAGACCTGCATAAGAGGCATCAAGAGATCTCGGTTTTGCTGCCCCCCGAATTTCAGAACGGCTCCAAGAGGGCCCTCGGCTTCAGCGCTTCGTGCCCCAAGCAAATCCCAGAGAGGGCCAAAATAAAAAATAAAACAAAAATAATGATTGCATCCCCAAGGAGTCCTGCAAGACTGGAGTCTGTGTTCCCAGGGTCTCGCATCCACCGCTGCTGCTCTTCCCTCGATGACGGGAGCCCGCAAACTGGCAAAGCAGGAAAACAGAATCCTTTGCTGCGAGGAAGTTTGGTTTCCCCCTCCTATCTCTCCACGCAAAGGAAACGGTTGTTTGTGCGGCTGGTTTTGGTGAAAAAACCTCAGGGCGTAGCCGACTGCAGACCGACAAGAGCCACTGCCACGGCCGTCCGATGTGAACAGGATATGTTTCCTGAAAGGAAAAGTCAAAGACAGACTTCTAAAGTCCCGGTCTCTCTCTCTCTCTCTCTCTCTCTCTCTCTCTCTCTCTCTCTCTCTCTCTCTCTCTCCACCCCCTCCTCACTTCCATCCCTCCCACCTCATTCCTTTGCTGTCCTCCTCTTCCCCCTCCCTTGCTTCCCAGAAAGCAAAAAATTCATTCGGTAATACTTGCATTAGGAAGAATCGTTATTATGATATTGGAACGCTCAAGGAAGGATATCGTAGAAGGACATAGATCTTGGTGGGGTCCTTGGTGCTGTCTGAGCTTGGTGGTTTTCTTGCAGACGTTTCATTACCCTAACGAGGTAACATCATCAGTGCTGTAACAGGTTAGGGTTTGCAAAGAGGAGGGAGGAGAGGAGGAGGAGGAGAGACCAGTGGGGTCCTTGGTACTCTCTGAGCTTGCTGGGTTTTTGTTTTTTTTGCAGACGTTTCATTATCCAATTAGGTAACATCATCAGTGCTAGAAAGGAGAGGGATTTGCAAAGAGGAGGAAGGAGAGAAGGAGAAAGAGGTTGAGGAAGAGAACTGTGGGGTCCTTGGTGCTCTCTGAGTTTGGTTGCTTCCTTGCAGACGTTTCATCACCCAAACTAGGTAACCTCATCAAAAAAATAATAATAATAATGGATAGATCCTCCAAAATAGACCCCACTCTGTTGTTAATCCCTCTGGTTTGGGATTCAACAGTTGGGTCTCAATCCATCAAATCTAATTTGGGAGACTGAAGCACAAGAAATATGTGGCTCTCTTGCCAGGCACTCTCTTAGTTCAGTGCTAAATATTGGAAAATATTTTTGGTTTTGTTTTTTTTTCTTTTGCTTGCTTCAACAAAAACAATCAGAATTGTTTCTATTTTTCTGCAATAGTTTGTTGGATGAGATGGAAGGATCCAGTAGGATTACAGGTCTAGGAAAAATTTAGCATTTCATAAGGAGAGAGGGGGGAGGGAGAGGGAGAGAGCAAGACCGAGAGAGAGAGAGAAAGAAAGAAAAAATAAAGAAAAAAGAGGAAGAGAGAGAGAGAGAGAGAAAGAGAGAGGGAGGGAGAGGGAGAGAAAGAAAGAAAGATAGAGAGCGGGAGAGAGAGAGAGAAAGAAAAAATAAAGAAAAAAGAGGAAGGAAGGGAGGGAGAGGGAGAGAAAGAAAGAAAGACAGAGAGTGGGAGAGAGAGAGAGAAAGAAAAAATAAAGAAAAAAGAAGAGAGGAAGAGAGAGAGAGAGGAAGAGAGAGAGAAGAAAGAGAAAGAGGGAGGGAGGGAGGGAGAGGGAGAAAAAGAAGGAAAGAGAAGAAAGAAGAGAGCGGAAGAGAGAGAGAGAGAGAGAGATAGCGATGAAAACCAGATAGGTGGCTTTGTCATTCTCTCTCTCTCAGCCCAGCCCACCTTACAGGGTTGTTGTGGGAAAAATAGGAGGAGGAAGGAGCCTTTGAGTTACTTATAAAAAAAAATAAACATGGGGATATAACTGAATAAATTTCATACGACAAAGCTGATGGTTTGTAGAAGCAGCAGTCTTGCAGAGGCTCCCTGGGCGTCATTTCCAGCTACTCTTCAGGCAAAGACCTGCCAATTAAGGTTTTGTGGGCCTTCTTCTTCTTCTTCTTCTTCTTCTTCTTCTTCTTCTTCTTCTTCT